CATCATTAAATTCACCGCTAGTTCAGCTAGTTTATGTAATATTTCTTGTACTTTAGTTTCTTCCATTTTTTCATATTTAGGAGAGCAATGTTTCTTGATAAATACTTTGATTACTTCATGATAAAGTTCTGTTCTTGTGACGGGTAGTTTTTCTGTGGTTTTTGATTTAGTCATGTGCCATTTAATATAGTAGCACATTAGAAAACACATCACAGGAATGTGACCAAAACTTAAAAGAATTTCATTCTTTTTGATGTGATCAAGTACTTTGTTCTTCATGCTTTCGTTTTCTTTGAAATATTTTTGGATGTATTCTAGCACTTGAAGTGAAGAAAATCCTTGAATGTCACATCTCACATCAAAGACAATTTCTTTTAATTCCTCGGCTTCTTCAGGCCTCGAGGATATCAGGACCACTGCACCGTTTAACATCTTTCCTTTCATGATTTTGGCAATCAGAGCAGGAACAGGTATTTTTTCATCAGGGTTGTTTGCGTATCTTGTCTCAAAGTCCCTGGTGATTTTCTCTCGATGCGGTTTATACTCATCATACCCATCGAGGATGATGAGCAGCTTCTCAGGATTGTCAATCATGTACTGCAGTAATGGCTCGTCTATCACCGAGTGCTCGTTCAGTAGGGAGGACAGATTTAAGATATCACACAAATTAAGTTTTTCTTCTGGAAGAACAAGTTGACGGAATGTCAACAGGAATACAAACTGAAAATCAGGTACTTTGGCATTTTTTTGACCTTCCTCAAACAATCGGTTATGCGACCAATCCCGTGTCAGCTTCCGACAAAAAAGGGATTTTCCAATTCCTGCTTTGCCCGTCAACAAGATAGATTTAGGATTGGTCGTGCAAGAAGCTGTGGACTGCTGATCATCATTTTCTGGGCAAACAAACATTTCTGAACAGTTTGTTAGTTTTTTACTACTCGCTTGAATTTCATCCAACAGTCTGCTGCCAAATCTCCTTTACTTAGGTTCCTTGAAGTGTTTTAGACCACGTTGGATAGTCACACTCGTAAAGATGTCATCGGTTCTAATTTTCTTGTCTTCTTCCTCTGACAACAGAAAATAGGTTTGCTGTTTGATGGATGACTTCAGTTTTTCTGTATATTCTGAAAATCAAAACACAACAATTTAACACCCAAAAGACAGGAAGAAAAGGTAAGAATAAAAACAGGTTTTTTTCGTTCACTGGACTGTTTAAAATTATGGGTATCTTAGAGTACAGTATTTTTGTATTTTATATTTATTTATCCATCTATTGCTCTATTCTTTTAATTATTTATCTATCCATTTATCTATTGTTGTTTATCTGCCAATCTCTTTCTATTTTTTCTGCAAGTCACAAAGATAGTACTGTTTATAGGTTTTGTTTATATTTTGTTTGTTAGTTTGTTTGTTTTTAGTTATTGCTTGGTATATTAATGTAACTATTTATTTATTTTCATGATACGAGGTTCTAAACCTTTAAAATAATATTTTACGCATACATGAAAGATCTAAGGATTCTAATGAACAACGAGAGTGAATGTAACAGCATAAAGATACCACGCACCATGTATTTATTCATTCCATGTAATAGCCATTCAAGGCATTCATTTATTTATGTTTTTGATGCGTTCATTTGTTTAGGCATTGATTTTTGAGATAGGATCTTCGCGCATCACCTTCATTTCTTTTTGATTGTTGGTTCATGTATGTAATAATTTATATATACATATTTACATATGAATGCACTCAAATTTATGCATTCATTCACTCTT